AAAATACAAAGACCTGCAAATAGAAGTAGAATGACTGTGGCAAAAGAAAGCAAAGATAGTACCAATAGTAATAGACGCCTTGGGTGCAATCCCAAAACACCTGGAGCACCACTTGAACACCACTGGCATCATCAGTCAATTGCAAAAGTCAGCTTTACTTGGAACAGCTTACACCCTCTGATGATACTTTTAATATTATTGAACAACAACATCTGCCTATCCCAGGACCTTGGGAAGGACTTCCTTGATAGGTGGACAAAAATGCAAAATCCAGTCTAAACAGCTGGTTGACTATGCAACCAACCATAATAGTAATAATTGCAGAAGCATCTGCTCTGTATACATGTCTGACCAGTTCTCTCTCAGACTATAAAAATAATGTTAAAAAGTAAGAGAAAAAGGATGCTAAAGATGCTGCAACTATTGTAAATATTCCCAGTGGATATTCCCAAATCAGTCCAGGCAGTGACAGTGAGACTATTTGTTGTTTCTGTCATTATCTTCTGTATTTTGGATGAGAATTTTGCTCCTACTTCCTGATCTGTGGGGTGCTGACACAGAGATTTCACTTAGATTGATTACTAGCTGTTCCTGTTTTGAGAGATCCAATGTTCAATTTTGGTAGGTGAATTTAGCTCAAGGCCTGAGAGTCCTTAACTGCTAGGAAGTAGGGAGAAGCTGATTTAGATTGCATTTTAATTTATATTTACTCAGTTTGTATGTCTCAGATCTCTCTCTATATATACATATACAGCCATAAGCTGAATATTCACACCTTTCTGAATGTGGTAACACTTTTCAACTCAAAGAATGCCTTTAAAAATATTCCTGTTAGGGAATGGGAGCACAAAAATGCATTTTGTTTGGGAAAATCATTTTGAAAAAGGCATAAACGATGCAAAGTACATGCAAAAATGCACATACTTATAGGGGAGAAAAAGCCCACATTGCATACAAATGTTCCAGGGATTTTTTTTTTTTTTTTTTAACTGATGTGAAAATGGATTGGAAAAACGAAAGGAACAAAAACAAGAATACTTAACAACAACCCTGAGTGAGATCAAATTTGATAGATTTGCCCAAGACAATTCTGATAGTACATCTCATCAGATAAGCACAAATGTCACAGTTCTCTAGACGTAACAGATCCTGATAAAGACCCAATTTCAAAGTGTCAGTGCTTATCTTTAAAATCCATCATGGGCCCTATCAACTTCATCTGGTACAGAGGCCTTGCTAAAAGACCTATCTTTATATGTCATCAGAGAGCAGGGTTGCCTTGACTGAAGTTGTCTTCATTTTGGAATTCTTCATGGAAAGAGATTATGTAATTAAAAATACTCAGAATTTATTGGGTTTTTGTTGCTGCTATGAACTGTACTTTTTGGGTTTAACAATACAAACAATGCATTTCACTGCATTTACTATAGCATACAGTTGCAGAATCCAGTGCAATTTTACAGATTTTATACAAGCCACTTGTCCATAAAATGTGAGATCAGTTTTTTTATTAAGAAACAAAGCTGTGAATGGTGGGGAAACTATGACTATCAGCAGTGTTTTGATCCTCCTTATGGGACAGCGATAATCTATTCTTACCTGAAATGATGAGTTTGGATGTATATTTACACGGGCCTGAAACCAATGTTGTCCTTTGTTCCCACTTGTAGACCAGAACGGGCTTTCTGTTGAAGTCTGACTTTTTAACCGCAAATAAACATTTAATGTTCCTTTAAAAAAAAGCATAGACACACACATATACACAATTAAAGAAAAACAAAGAGAACAGCAAAAATATTAGGAGGTTGAGACACACTGGCAGATGTGAAGAAGAAATGTGAAATTCAAAAGCCAAAAGAGGTCAGTTCAATGAAGCATTGGAGTATGGATTTCAGCATAATTTAGGCCTCGGGTGTTTTCTGCCTTTTTGTGCCTTTCTTTGCTGACTGTCCCTCTTGCAAGCACTGAGTCTGCATGCTGAGTTTGCCTCATTTCAATGTGCTTGCCATGCTTTGCTGTTCCGTCCCATAGAAGGAAGGCGTCATAATATGGCGTTAGCAAGATGCTCCATCTCACTGAGAGTTCTCTGCCTCACCTCCAAGTTCTTTGCTTTGCCCCAGACAATTCTGTTGTTAAATTTAACAACCGTAATAAATTTAGTTTTGTGTAACCTTGGGTGAATCAAAGTCCACTATGCTGCGTGCATGGAGTATGGTCCTGACAAAGGAGGATTACATATTCTAAGAAGGAGTAGAGTGGTAGCTACTCCAAACAGTTTTTGGATGGGGGAAGACAGGG